ACCGCTCTTAAGGTGATGGACCTGCTGTGTGTGCCTTGATTAAGGTCTTTCACAAGAGAAATACCACCAAGCAACTGGCTTGTGTTCCCACTTTCGGCAGCAACAGTATTTAATAGAGTTGATAAGCTGACTATTTCAACTAGAATCTGACATGCCATTAATACTGCTGAGGACACCTCACTGTGCGGTGATCCTCATGGTAATTGTTGTAGGAAATGCAGCAGCAAAGACATCACCATTTTTTGTCTCAATTAGAGGAGAACAGATGACATTTCATACTAACCCAGAAGTTACGGCACTTGGCACACTACTTGGTAAAAAGAGAAAAACAACCCTTTTGTACATATAAATATAAACATCTATATGTGTAGGAATATAACCTCAGAATAATTCTGAAAAGTTATAAATAACCTATATTAATAACACAGGAAGAAGCATATTACATCTTGAAATAACATTTCAACACAAAATCCACTTCAAGTACTACTGCAAAATGCCACGTAGCAAATATATTATCTGTACTTCAGTTTTCTTTTACCTGTGTCCTTTTAATGCCAGACTCAACTAACAGTTTATATAACCGCCATGTTTACCAAACTACACTGACTCCCTGATGGTACAACCATATAAAATATACTGTGCAAAACATTCATCAGAGACTAAATGTCATCAATCAGTCATTTGACTGCAAAGTTTTATTTTGCTTTTTTATTTAATAAATTGAAAAGCAAGCTATATAGAAACAGCAGTTGCACAAAAGCACGGACTAGGGTGGGCCAATTTTATGAATCTACAAGGCATACCAAAACTCTTCACATGTCCAATACCCAGAAGACCCCATACTCTTAGGAACTCTGAGAAATTAGACTCTGCAAATAATACATGACACAGAAACCTTTATGTAGTTCTTCTTTGTGTGACTATCCTCAAGCCCTAACTTCTTCTTTGTCCCCACCTATCACACAGGACAGAAACAGTTTCCTATGGATTTGCATTACTTCCACTGCTAGAGAGTTACTTTTCTGCATAAACCAGGAGTTGCTAAAATATACTCTGGGGATCCCACCAAGTCTCACATGAGAGCACCACAGAGGCATCTAGCCTTTGTAATGGTCAATACCCTTACTACTACCCTTCCAAGACTTTTATACAGTACCAGTATATATATTCTCCTCACAGTACCAGCAAAACAACTTCACAGCCAAGCTGACAAGCCCGTCTTATTTTCAGGTACCTAGGGAAAATGTTTTTGACACAGATTGTTTTTGCGGATATGGACTGTTATTACTTGAAACTTAATTTTTTATTCTCTGTGAAGTGTGAAACTGCTTGAAATGCAGTTATAAGCAGAACTACTCTAAGCCACCTACAGAATTAGTAAGATTGAAAGTCAGACAAAACTAAAATGTTCCTCTTTTTGTTTTGTTCTGTGCATTACATTCTTTCATCAGCATTATAGGCCTACTCAGTTTCAAAGTCTCAAAGTTCTATTTCTTGGGCCAAATGCACTGCTTTTCTCAGCCCGAGCTCTTACAGCTTTGTTTTAGTGTCTTAACTCATGCATATCTATAAAAAAATTCTTTCCCTCAACAGAAAGCTTTACAAGGAGCAGGTCTACAATACCATTTGCATTTGGGTCAGTAGTAAGAGTTCTGAAGCTCAATAATTTACCAAGCTTTGAAGAGAGAGATTACCTTCAAGCAAAACTACAGGAGAGTAGAAAATCCAGGAGTACATCTAACACTAAACATACCCACATCTAGTGGGTGTTCAAACTACAGGACCAGATTCTCAGCGTTGCACAGCTAACAGGAAAGAAGATGATGCATTCTCTTCATGCAGAAACGATCCTCTCTGAAACAGAGCACGATAGCTTCCCCAGTCTGATCTTGGTTTGTCAGACTACTGCAGAAGTGGTACACTGCTGTGGTGAAAGTGCTGTGCTTCTGTCTAGGCAGTTACATGGAAGAGCACAGAGCAACAGGCACAGCCTAGAGTCAACAATATAGGTTATGAAAATTTTCCACTGTCTCTTACCATTTGTTCTTCCCCCCCTGCCCCCCCCAATTCAATACTCAGAAGAGAAATGCCTATGTAAAATAAACACCTTGACTGTATAAATAGCTCTGAAAGTGGAATAAAGAGAAGTCATCAACTGACATTTTCAGAAGTGTCATGAAAAAAAAAAGTCAGCTTATAGAAAATAAATGGCCAAGTAAAGGCTGAACACGAGCATGATCATGCATTAGAAGCACCACCAAAACACAGGGAGGCTTGAACTGCAAGCAATCTGTTTCATGAAACTATTTCAAGATTTCCGACCATTTACTTTTTGGTATCACCTGCAGGGTTGGTTGTGCTCAAAACGTGAGGAAAATAAGGCCATAATTTAGATACCGAGTTATGAAGATTCTTTATTAACTCTTAAATTATTTCAATACTTTTAGGTGTATCCATTTTTGCCATTTCAGCACTGTCCAGCACAATTACTACTGAAGACTAGTAACTATTACCTAGTAAATCCATTCTGCATAAGCTCTCTTTGAAGTTTCTGGTCTTGAGCAGCATATTCCTGAAGCTCAGATTCCACAGCAGGGGGTAGAATATTTGGGATGAATTTAGAAAATAAAGCTGGTGCCATCTGTACCCACTCTGTAAGAAGAGGAAAAGCAACAACAAAACATGTGGAAGAGATCTTTTGTGAAAACTTTACTGGCAAGCGTAACTTTGCTCTATTTTAAATACATTTTAGGGTCTTGAATTTAAAAAAAAAAAATCAAACAAAACAAAACTACAAAAAAACCCTAAAACACCCCCCAAAATCCACAGAAACCAAGCCTTAAAGCAGAACAAATAATCAGACTGTTAAAATCAGATGTTTGCACGTAGATAAAGGAATTACTATTTTTTTTTGTCATCAATCTCATCATCAAATTGAATTTCAGTTCTTGCTGCATCTCACAGGGCCTGCTGAGTCTCTGGACACTCTCAGGGAGAGGCAATGATGATCAGCAAACTCTCACTGATGATCGGATCATATATAACACTTTACTCTGGGAAGTATATACACAAAATTTACACCTCTCTTCCCTGAGCTGTACTTCTAGAAAGTACAGTAATATCACCACACAACTCTGCTTCTCCATCCCCCACTTCAAATGGATTAATGCAATTCTCTCACTGATCTTCCAAAGCTTAGATGAACACTTTTTAATGTTCATTATATAATTTTAACCTGTATTAGTTGAGCTTCAGGAGAGAAATGTGATTTAATTTTACTACACTGAACATTACCTTAGAGAAGCAAGACAGTTTACCTTACAGCTGTTTCAAGGCTGATGATAAGAAACACAGAAAATTGAGCAAAAGATGAAAATTAGGTTTATAACAACTGTGTAAGATGTTCTCAGAAAAATAAATACTCCTCAACTATTTCTGACACCAGACTTTCCAGAGGTTATAGCAGTTATCTTAAACTTCACCTTTACTTGGAAAAAGGGATTCTTTTAAATATATTCACTAAGGCACATCATGAGTTTTTAGCCAATTCCCACATATGGTTACTTGGTCCATATGCTGAGCTTCAACAGCCTTTAATCAACAAACTCACGAAATAATCATTACTAATGTATAGGTGGATTAAACAAAAACCAATGCATTAACCTCCCTCATCATAGAATCATTTAGGTTGGAAAAGACCCATTAACCTAGCACTACTAAGTCCACCACTAACCATGTCCCTTAGCACTACATCTACATGTCTTTTAAATACCTCCAGGGATGGTGACTCAACCGCTTCCCTGGGCAGCCTGTTCCAGTGCTTGACAACCCTTTCGGTGAAGAAATTTTCCTAATATCCAATCTAAACCTCCCCTTGCGCAACTTGAGGCCATTTCCTCTTGTCCTATGGCTAGCTACTTGGGAGAAGAGACCAACACCCACCTCGCTACACCCTCCTTTCAGGTAGTTGTAGAGAGCGATAAGGTCTCCCCTCAGCCTCCTCTTCTCCAGACTGAACAACCCCAGTTCCCTCAGCTGCTCCTCACAAGACTTGTACTCTAGAACCTTCACCAGCTTCATTGCCCTTCTCTGGACACGCTCCAGCACCTCAAGGTCTTTCTTGTCATGGGGGGCTCAGAACTGAACACAGGATTCAAGGTGCAGCCTCACCAGTGCCCGAGTACAGGGGCACAATCGCTTCCCTACTCCTGCTGGCCACACTAGTGCTGATACAGGCCAGGATGCTCTTGGCCTTGTTGGCCACCTGGGCACACTGCCGGCTCATGTTCAGCCGGCTGTCAACCAGCACCCCCAGGTCCCTTTCCGCCGGCAGCTCTCCAGCCATTCCTCCCCAAGTCTGTAGCATTGCGTGGGGTTGTTGTGACCCAAGTGCAGGACCCTGCACTTGGCCTTGTTAAACATCATACAACTGATCTCAGGCCATCTATCCAGCCTGTCCAGATCCCTCTGTAGATCCTTCCTACCCTCAACACTCCCACCCAACTTGCTGTCATCTGCAAACTTACTGAGGGAGTACTCAACCCCTCATCCAGATCATTGATAAAGATATTAAACAGAACTGGCCCCAATACTGAGCCCTGGGGAACACCGCTTCTTCCATGTGTTCCATGGAACTTGTGTTCCATGCCAACAGGATTTAACTCCATTCACCACCACCAGCCAGCCAGTTGTGGGGTTTTGTTTTTTTGTTGTTGTTGTTTGTTTTTTTACACAGAGAAGAACATGCCCATCAAAGCCATGAGCAGCCAGTGTCTCCAGGAGAATGCTGTGGGAAACTGTGTCTAAGGCTTTAATAAAGTCCAGGTAGAAAACATCCACAGCCTTTCCCTCATTCACTAAGCAGGTCACCTTGTCATAGGAGATTGGGTTAGTAGAGCAGGACCTGCCTTTCAGAAACCCATGCTGACTGGGCCTAATCACGTTGTTGTCCTGTACGTGCCATGTGATGGCACTCAAGATGATCTGCTCCATAACCTTCCACAGCATCAGGGTCAGGCTGACAGGCCTGTAGTTCCCCAGATGCCCCAGATCACAGCAGCACTCAATATAAAAAAACAACAAAAAAACCCCAAACCAAAACCCCAACAACAACTCCACAGACATGAAATGGCACTTTTCACCTTATGAAATACAGTAAAAAGGTACCACACAGAATGGGTGACCTACTAAAAACCTACTGCTACTGAATAATTTAGCCAAGTTAATAAACTTACTTGGAATTCATAACATGAAATACCATGGTAGTATTTCATGCCACTGACAGATCACTATAGGGGAGATGAAAAGAGTATTTCACATTAAATCCAAGTGGGACAACTAGCAGCCTCGGCACCTGCCCAGGCTTCAGCCTCTTCCATTGCAGCTACCACATGCTGGAGCTAGAATTAGAAGACAGTCTTTTCTGGCAACATTTGAAGTCTAACAGCTACCAAGTACTTTCAACTTGAAGTAAAAGAAGAGAAAGAAAAAAGAAAGCCCATAGCCACCAGCCACATCAGTATCACATCTCCTTTTGCTAGCTGCACTGCCTAAACAGACACTTCCCAGTGCTGCTCTAATCCCCCAGCACCTCCCACAGGCCACATTTTCTGCTTTGCTTCCCCAGTTATCTGCTCCCCAGTCCTCACAATACATCCAATGGAGCATGTCCCACAGAATAAGTGAGAAGCACTACCTCAGAACTCTTGCCCTAATTTTTCAGAATTCGTCCTCAAGAACCAGCACCACCAAAGAATAGCCTTTTACATCAAGAAGTCTATCCTGTGCTCTTCTGGTTGGAATGACATTAAAGTTCCTCATTTTCTCAGAGGCTGAGAAGTTTGAGGACCATGTAATTAGAGAAAATGTGTATCTGTTTAAGCAATAGCTTAAAGTCAATCACCTAGGTCTTTGTACCCAGCTGGGGAAAGCAGATATCACAAATTGTAGGAACATTTTTTTATACTTGAAGATCTTACAGACCTAACACAACTATTAAAAATCTGATTAGGCCCATGATACCAACCTAATGGCTTCACAGAAGAAACTGTCATTCATCTCATGTCAAAGAGCTGGCCGTTTGAAGTGCAACTCATAACATAAATCTGACCATTTCAGTACTTCTAAACTTCTGCCATGATTGATTCATTAAACAGCCTTCTTTATTTCTACAGAGCAGAAGAAAAGTGTCTTGCCTTTGTCTCAAGAGTAGAAGGTTGGGTTGTTTTTTTAAAAGTGAGTTTGGTATTCACATGGTACCTTGTACAGGTCACAGAGATGGGCAACAAGATGAACCAGGGCCTTTGCATAGTAAAACTAAAAAAGCATTAGGACGGACAGAACACAACGCACATTTGTTTGTCAAATGTGCATCAGATAGATAGCAACCACATACATATTTAGGAAAATATATGACAACCACATTACAAGAGACTCCTAGAAACATTTTTCTTTTTTACCTGGTCGTAGTGTATACAGGCCTTTCACAATATTTGCCATGGTTGAAGGAGTTATTTGAAACGGTGTTGACTGAGCTTCCAAAAGTAAAGCTGAAATAAAATCAAAAGAATTAGCCATTCTTCTAATCAAGAAATACAGGTTCTTACACATGCATTCTTGTATCAAAGAAATACAATAGCTGTGCTTTTTTTGTCCTGATGTCCTCACAAAGGAAACAGCCAGGTATCTAATTGACAATTTCTTAACTCTCAAGAGTAATAAAACATCACCTTTAAATGGAAGTATTCTGTTCAAATTATGTATTATGAAAATGTGAAATAAGTTATTTTTTATCCATTTTCAGACAGGAGCAGGAGTTCTGAGGAAAAACCAAGCAAGTGATGGCTCTAAGAATTCAGATGCAGAACTGAAGTAAACAATTTATTTTTAGAAGCACTCTCATACTGAGTGTGCTAAACACCTGGAGATCCACAAATCCTCACTTTACAGGGTTTAGTAACTTGTCCATAAAACTAAGGCTGCATTGAAAGCCTATGAAGGAAATACACGTAGTGTAAAAATCAAGTAAGAAAAGTTGTTTGTTCTTTTAAACACGAATGAACATTTACTTCATTTTTGGTCTCTTCTGTAGTAAACATTGCAATAATTGCATCTTCCTCTTTTGCAAAAACCCAGCAATAGCAGATTTACTACTTGTATTTCAATAGCCAGGCCTTTAGCCTGCCTTGTATTTACGTGAGGTTTGTACATCCATCTGAATTACAGAAGAAAACAAAAAATATATCAATAAGATTTACACCAACTGCTGCCTTTCAGTTTTTAAGCCTCTACAAAGGAGTTGAGCTGTATACACACCTTTCTGTACCCACTATGTAGAGAAGAAATCACTCTTACAATTCTACCTAAAGGGTGTAGCTCTTGTGCTTACATTGTAGAGACCTTGGTTTTTAAACCTCAAAGCTTCTCCAGTTCTGTCTTCAGCATCTGCCACTACAGCATTTACCATAAAAAGAAAAATCTTAGATAGCATGTTCTTCTCTTTTTGAAACTGTTTAAGGGGCTCATGTAAAAGGGACATTAAAAAAAGAGAGGTTTTTTTTCTAACCTCCAAGTAATCAAAGTGGTTATATTTAACTGTTATAGATTGATTTCTTTTACATAGAACCATCTTAAAAGCACTTGCTCCTTTCAGCTGAAGCCTTGAGGGAGTGAGAGCCTGTGATTTGTTTTGTAACGACGTATTTACAGCTGCCTTCCTAAAGATTTTTCAAACAGCCTCTTGGCAGCCTGGAAAGCTGCAAATCCTAACATTAAAAGGGATAATGCTTTATAAGGACGGTATGAAGGCAGTAATGCACAATCCATACAATGTGTGTGTATATATACATATATATATTTCATTAGACTGTAGCTACTTCAGCATAAGCTTCACCAATAGATTTGTAAAGTGTCCAGAGAATTCCACATTTGTTCTTCACATGCAGACACCAAATTATGTTCCAAAGCTATGTAAAACAAATTATTTAAAACAGAGTAAGCCTAAAAACTAATACTGACTTAAAGACGACAAAGTCCAGAGATAAAAGTCACTTAACATTTCAATAGATGTTAGGAAGTTTATTCAATTAGCAGAACTTCTTGATTTATCCCTGATAAACTGAAAACTATGTTTTCCAGTAGTATCCAAGTTGGAACTAACAAAAGCAATTCAAAAATATTTCAGAAGCTACTTTATATAATCGTATACGTACAGGGCATACTGTGGAAGAGAAAGAAGCTATTCAGAGTTGCTTTGGGGACAAACCCAAGCATTAACGGAAGCTGCCTACAACTATACAACTATCTAGAGTGCATCTGGCTACTTGGATATCTCTGAGTAAGTGGAAAATTGCAGGTCACACTATTCCACCTATGCATGAAATCTGAAATACGGTGCCGATACCCTGAGCAGAGTCGTATGTACTGTCATCTTCCAATTTTTAATTTTTTTTTTAATAACATATAACAAGTAGATGGCAGAGACAAAGAAAAAATTTATTTTATGGTATATATGGATCAAAGACAAGAGGTGATGAGCACACCAGACTGGTAGCCCACCTCATTCCTCTCAGCCAGTGGTACTGGAGACATGCTAGGGGTGCACGATGGCCCACTTCTTCCTTCCTTTCCAGCTAATGAAACCCCCACAGCACTCCCACAAGTGGTCCCTTAACATTTTCAAGGTGCTGACCAACAGAATTGTTTGTACAAGCAATAGTTTAAGAGGTCTGTCAACATCTTGAGTATAGCTCACCATTATAAACATGCAATATTATTTTCCCTTTTTTAAGGTAATATTCCCCTATGAAGCTCATCTCAGCTGTGATCCTTTGAGGTAAAGTGAACAGATGTATTTGCAATATAATGCAAGTAAAATGAGCAGCCACTTGTTTCTGTTCCAGGTTACTGACCACAGCACCTGGTATTAGAAAGGTATTTCATGACGAAAATCAGTGGAAGAATTCACCTGGAGGTCAATCCTACAGAAATATTTTCTTCATCACTTCATTGCAGCTTCAGAAATTAACATTTCTTATCTTTGTTTCTGCAGCTGCTTACACCACATGCTACAATACAAATCTAAATCACTTGCTGTTGATTTACAGTAAGTAAACACAAGCATGATGGTATTATATTCAACAATATAACTAAGTAATGGCATATATTTCCTGTTTCTCAATAAAGAAAACCAGAAGAATATATTATTCATTAAACCATACAGTAGAAATTAATCCAGCCTCCACCTTCTCCAAAAGCTAGAAATCAATACCTGAAGAATGAATAGCACTGCTGTAAGATATGTATTTCAGCATGCTTTCCATAAGAATGAACAAGACCCCTCTCTTTGGACAGATCTGAAAAATCTCAATGCAGGCTTATTGACAAAGATGTAAATAACGAAAAGATGTAAAACTTCTTCACACAAATTCATCTCCAGTTTTGCAATGAAACCTACATAAATATTCAATCCTATTATTACTTCTTGTGTCACTTAAACTCAAGGAATAGAAACAGCTGTGCCAGACACACTGAAGTTACCTTTGTTGTTATTTTACAATCTTACAAAAGACCTCGAAATATTGAGGCTTTGACTCTTGCTTTATTAGAATAATTAATGAGACTCTAAAGCACAGAAGTTGCACAGACTCCTACCTACTCCCTGAAGTTCCATCTGCGGCATTTACAAAATTAGAGCAGGGTGAGGCAGCATAAAACTAAACCTCAGATGAATGACAGTGGTAATGACACTATGATACTATCTGACCACCTCCACAGTGTTTACGAACTAATATTGCATTTTACAGACTAAGTAACCAATAGGCAAAGAAATTCATTAACCTGCAAATAGTCTTGAAAATAACTTGTGGCAAAAATCAAAGAAGAAAAGTGTGGGTTCCCATGAAGAAATGCTTTCGCTGCAGAAAGATACAAGATGCTTTGAAAAATTGTTGAACTGAGGTAAGACACAGCACTCCGAACGGCCTCAGGATTTTTTTGAGGAACAGTGGACAAACTGTAGTGGTGTAAGTAAGGTATGAACCTGCAGCACTTCAGGTACTCCGCAGTTACTGAGTTACTTCGTTATTGCACAGTAACATTGAAGCAGCTTGTCCCTCAATGAAGGTTTAAGCTAATTCTTAATTACAGCGGGGTACTTGCGGCAAGATCCAGGACCCTGGTAACTCTAGGAGTAGCAGATGATATTTTAAAAGTTCAAACTCACTTGTTCATAACTCAAGATTCACTTGCAAAAACTAAGTTAGCTATTCTAAAAATCTTTTTCCATCCTTCAACATTCCTTTCAAAATAGATTTATTTTGCTTCACAAAGATGTAATTTTTCTGGCACGACAGTGAAATTTCTGCATGTTAGCGCTCAACATTTTTTTTCCTCCCTTTACAGTAATCTAATAGAACTTCAAAGTAAGTGATTTTAACAAATCATACATAAGCATGGCTTGGGCAGATGTATTCAAAGTTGTAATTATTCAACAATGCACTTAAAAAAATTACAAAGTGTATTCCCATTAAAAGCATCTCCAACAGCTTCCACAACTAAAGCATTAGTCACCTGCTGCTCTCCAGTCTTCAACAGAAGCAGAACCAATCGCTTAACGAAGCCACAAAGTAAAACAGATGTGTTCCGGAGATCTTTATCCCGTTGTACAAACCACGCTCTTTGGTACTTAATTTTGCAGAGTAACAGCTTTGATATTTCCACAGAACTTGAGCCCTTACACAACTGTGAGAAAAACAGGGATGGATGGAGCCATCACCAGTGCACAGCCTAAACAAACCTCACCAGCACAGGCTCAGCTGGCAGTTCTGCCCTTTAGGAAATATCATCGGATCACATGCAGGCAAATCTATAGCATAATAAACTACCTTGCACTCAGCTAAACTGTATCAGGCCCATCTGACCACACATATCCTTCTAACTTCACTGTGACAACATCAGATTCACCTTGAATATGGGTCCTGTATCCCAATCTTTACTCCCCAATCCAGTCCATGCAAAGCACTTGACTGAACCCCACACGCCACCTGCAATTAATAGGAAGGGAACCGCTACGGCTGCCGTCCAAGATCTGGCTGTAGGTTTTTGGGTTGAGGTTTTTTGGGAGGTTGGTTGTTTTTTGTTTTGCTGTTGTTATTCTTTGGGGTTCTGGGGTTGCTGGGGATTTTTTACCTGCTGCCTATTTTATTATTAAATTGACTGATGAAGTTTGATTATATATTACCTTTTCATTACTTTAACCCAGGTATAATTTGTACATGTTAACTATCGAACTAGAACTTCAAAAGCCTTTTGCATGAAAACCAACCTTCCCTCTGGCTTAACCATCACATTTGCAGTTACATCAAACTCCTTGCGATTCTGCATTTTTATTTTCTTTTAAATGGAACTAAAAATAAACTCTTGGTAAGTTAAAGTCTGCAGAAGTTTCTGATGAATTAAAATGTAGGTTAGAAAAAAAAAACATTAAAAGTCGTATTTATTACTAAGCATTTTCACTAGGCATTTAATGAAACCACAGATTACTTTTGAA